AAATTAAGCACCTGAGGAAAAAAGACTATGTTCTTCTCAATTTCAACAGTGTTCTCTGAATTTCTTCATGTTTTTTCCTCTGTACACCTTGCTACACTCCTTCCCAAAACGTTCCATCCAGTGAGGCTTTTTGATAAACTCAAAGCCAAACACCTAGTGAAATACACAATTTTTCAAGAGCGATCAAACACAAAAAATCAAGGGCTTTGTTTTTTGATGCAAGAAAATAGCAACAATTAAAAAATAGACAATGAAATACACACTTTTATTAGTTAATAATTATATTTAATCAATAAACTGTTTTCAATACATAAATATATGTGAAAAAATAGGACACCTGTACATACTTTTATAGCTACTTGACATACTCTACAATAGCTCCAACTATACTAATCCATGTACCCATATACACAAAGTAAAATACACACATACAACAGTCCTTGTGTCACCAAGGTTCTCAGGCAATATATTGTCAATATCATGGCTAAAATAGTCATATTCAAGAATTGAATCAGTTAATAAGTGAAATAAAGTCGAAGAAAGACTGCACGGAACAGTGAAACTTACATGGCAAAGACGACTTCAATAAGACCTGATTCATTACCATCAACATTCAGGTTAGGATTTTTTATAAAAAAAATTGCTTCTGGGTCATGTGCAGTTGAGTCAATGAATTGAGAAGTTGGAGAAGAAGACTTCATAATTGAATTTTCCAATGCTTCATTATTCTCATTTTAGACAAAAATCCATTGGAACTGTTGCAATTTTGGGAAGATCATGGGAAACTGGAAGTGGAAACTTTTTAGGGTTTTTGGGTCGTCTTCATCAGATACAATTTATGCAGTGACTACAAACAAGAAAAATCAAAGCACCTTCATTTTCCGGTGAACTCCATCCAAATCTTGTAGAATGAAAATGGGCGCAAACTGAGAAACGAAGAATGCGGCGACTCAGGAACACCGATTTGTATTTGATGCGACTTTGGGAAGACGGAAGTGACGATAGCTGTTGTGGCAGAGGCAGCGTCTATCCGATCGGGAAGTAGAAAGAGGGATTGTTGTGGAGAGATGGCGGTGGAAGAAAGAAGCTTCAAGGTGCTTTCCTGGCTCGCCTTCACTCTAATCCTCTGAGAGGGAATGACAATGGTTTGCAGAAAACGGTGGAGAAGATGAGACACGATGGCGTCGGAGTAGGGTTTGTAGAGTGGTTGAGGTCGACTCCAACCCAGACAGCCGATGGAAAACCGGAGAGAGATAGATGAAGCAAAGAACCAAAAAAAACGGTGGGAAGCTGTAGTGGGTTTTGTTTTCATCCAAGGAATGAAGGAACGAAGCCGTGCAGAAGAGACACTAATCTTATTTTTATTGGTTATAATAGCGGTGGAATACAGATTACAGATTAAAAAAACGATGAAATCAGACAGATTAAAAGAAAACCAAAAAAATCAACGAATGAACCGCAAGAACTGTTGATAGAGGAACAAAAAATTAATAGTATTAAGAATAATATATTTGTATTCTATGTAAATTATATATACAAAAAAAAAAAGATTAGATCAATGGAGCTTACAACCAAAGTGGTAGTGGCTATTCTCCCCCACAGCAATGGTTCGGGTTCGTACTCCATCGTTGAAATTTTCGTTTTGTTTTCACGGACGGATTAACAACCACTTCTTAAAAAAAATCATAATTTGTTTTTGTCCGTCGGGTTTACAACAGGCGACAATAAAATATTATTATTTTTTCATTTTGTATTTTTACGGACGGATTAATTAGTGACCACTTCTTAAAAAAATCAATTTTATTGTTGTTTTTTGGTATTACCCACGATTTTCGAGGTCTTCTTTTTTTCCATCGCTATGCCCTCGGTGTTCGGTCACGAAAGTGTCGATGTATTAGGCTTTCAGGAGTGGGAGGGAAGGAGACGCGTGGGAGCTGACGTGTCAGCCCCCTTCACGCGTGAGCACCGCCCCACCGGCCGGTGGGTTGCCTGTTCCGTGGAGCTGGAGACGGATGAAGACGAGCAACTTGATTGGTTTATTAACTTTTTGACTGTTGAATCGATTAATGCACATTTGACCGTTTGTAAAAAAAAATAATTAATTAATTAATTAATTACTCAATCCTTTCTCTATATATATCGACATTTTATTTCATTTCAAACACACCACCACACACTTTGAACACAAACATATATACTTCTTCCAAAAAATATACTTTCCTCCATGGATCCAAACCAAAATAACCCACCCACCCCGAACACCCCAAACACTCCAAATGATCCGTTAGCAAACATTGGCTACATGCATTTGTTATCATCCCCGGTTCAGGGGCGGATCCAAGGGGATCCCGGGGTAGCCCGGGATACCCCTCAAATTTTTTTCGGTAGTGTACTTTATGTTTACGTATACCTCAAAAAAAATCGGTATAGTGTATATATACGCATCCCTCTACTTATAAACACAAACAAACAGTTGGTCTACTGGTTAAGGCACCGACTTCTTGAAGTAAATGTCTCAAGATCAATTCTTGCTTCTTACATATCCTTTGTTTACTTTTGTTTTATTTTCCCAGCTATTCTATCCCACATCGCTAAACACATGTAAACTCAACCATTTTTTTTCTATTATATAAACCTGTTATGCTCATTCTTTATTTGATATCTATTTTGAGTCTCACATCGATTCAAGTATCAAAATATACTTCAACTTCATGTTTATATAACAAGACTTGAGGTTAGCTAAGGATTCGATTAAGATTTGGGTTTAAAACAAAAACCGAACCGGGGAAACCCAACTACCCCGGAAAAAAATTGGGTTACCCTAAAAAAAATTGGGATACCCCTTTACTTTGATCCTGGCTCCGCCACTGCCCCGGTTCCACAACAACCTTTATTCACCAACATTTTTCGTACCACCCACACTACTACCAACAACAACAACCACCATAATTCGTCCAACCCCAATTTCAAGCATTTCAACAACAACAACCACCAGGTCAACAAACTCCACAACCATCTCAAGTTCCATTATCTCAATCTCAACCCATAAACCTCGACATTGACGACGACGACGAACAGGTTCAAGTCGTAGAAGGCAAAAAAAATCAAAAGATGCAGCAAAAAAGAAAAATACTCAATGGACCGAGGAGGAGGAGGAAACTTTAGCAAAAGCTTGGATTTTCATTTCACAAGACGGGGATATCGGCAACGCGCAATCGGGTCAAGGCTTTTGGAATCGTGTTCTAGACCACTTCCATGCCTTGTTAGTAAGGCAAACGAGCCGGACATACGACTCGGTCAATGCAAAATGGCGTGACCTTCGAGCGACTTGCACCAAATTTAACGGCGTATTTGACAATCTTAAAAATATGCATCGAAGTGGTAGCAACGATTTCAACATTTTATCAACCGCGTTGTACCAATACAAAATTACCAACAATGGTAAATCATTTGCCAACCAAAAGGCGTGGGAAGTTTGTCGCAATGGTCCAAAATGGGTCATTTATCCGGAAACGGCTCATTCGGGATCTACCACCGGTTCCAACAAAAGGCCGAGAACATCCGAGTCGGACATTGGTGTTAATCTCGACCTCAATGACGCGACCGAGGGGGATGGTCCACCGGACGTCCAACTTCGTCGACCACCGGGAAGGGACAAAGCGAGAAAGGGAGCATCTTCTAGCGGAAAATCAACCAACGAGGACGTGCTAGCGGAGAAAATCGACAAAACTTTAATGTTTTTGGAAAAAAATTGAGTCAACAGAGGAACAACGTCGGCGACAATTGGCACTCACCGATCTTCAAATTATAAACACGGTGCCGCAACAGAGTCTCGACCCAGAAAATTTAAGGGCGTTTATGAAAATCCAACAAGAAGTCCTCGACAAATATCGCAACTAAGTTCTATGGTTTTTAGTAATTTAGTTTTATTTTTCTATGTTATTTTTAATGTTTTTTTTAGTATTTTAATTTTAATTTTCTATGTGTTTTTATGTTTTTTAGTAATTTAGGTTTAATTTTCTATGTTTTTAGGTTTAATTTTCAATGTTTTTTAAGTAATGTAATTTAGTTTCAATTAATGTAAAATAGTTTTTTATGTTTTTATTTAAATTAATCATAAAAAAAGAAAAAAAGAAAAAAAATTGTGTAGTGGTGACCATTTCCTAGGTTTAGTGGGTTGGTGGTGGGTTTGTGGTGAAGCTGAAGTGGCGCAGAGGTGACACCACTTTTTCGGTGGGCTGGTGGTGACCACTCCATTTAGCCTTAGGATGCTGCATTATGGCGGTGTTTTACCAGTAATTACCGATGGAATGTTACCTGTAGCTAATTTTCGTAGGTAAACCTTCTTTTTTCTAGTAGTGATCATCTGCCCTTTTTAATTGAAGACATCTAATCTTCTTTTAAGAACAAGTGAGTTTCTTTTTTTAATTTAATAATCGTATCCATTAAAATAACGAGTACCCTGTTTGGGATTATATATCTAATAGAGTACTGACTTGGTAAATTCAAAGAAAACTAGGTCAAAAGTCATTTTTAATCACACCTACACATACCTTTCATCATACTGATAAAACATATATTGCATATTAATAAATAAAGAAAAAAAATACTAATACATTAATATAAAAATAAAAAACATCAAAATCATGGTTGAAAAAACATTATGAAGAATAATAAAATATAAGAAATACGATTTAATTAATAAAGTAGATTATGATATATATACGCAATTAATAATAAAAGAATTAAATTTTAAGTCAATGATATATGATGGATATGGGGGGATACAAGTTGCCACTGCGAAAGAAACCACAGTAGTATATGCTAAGTGCTGTATAAATGTAGCTGATTATGTTTAGAATTCATTGAACTTAGAATCCAACCCTCTCTCTCTCTCTCTCTCTCTCTCTCTCTCTCTCTCTCTCTCTCTCTCTCTCTCTCTCTCTCTCTCTCTCTCTCTCTCTCTCTCTCTCTCTCTCTCTCTCTCTCTCTCTCTCTCTCTCTCTCTCTCTCTCTCACGAACATGAGAAAATATTCTACTCTTCTTAACATTGGGAGATCCAATAAGAGATGGGTTCAAGAGACTTCTTACCTTACATCACATCATATTCATATCCGCCACCATCCTCAATCACCACTAACACCACTACCACTACCCCCGCCCCCACTGCCATCGCCACCCTTTTCCTTTTCCTTTTCTCACGTCTCAAAGAACAGATGCGGTTTGCTTAATACTGTTTCTCACAATTATTCTCGAACAACTCTTTCTAATCTAAGCCATAATCATCTCCATGCTAAACTCTCCACCCTCCACACGTTAGAACTCTCCAACGATATGGTTGACTACTCACTCGACTACCAAGTTACAGTGAAAGACATCGAGGTCATTTCAGCAGCTCAGGCGCCGACTCACGAACTCTGGCTTCCCTTAACCAACTTAGACTTACTCCTACCACCACTTGCCGCCGGAGTTTTCTTTTGCTACAAGAAAAATGATGACACTGCCACTTCAACGGAAACGGTGGTGAAGACGCTTAAGAAATCTTTGGGTATTGTGTTATCCACATTTTACCCGCTCGCCGGAGAGATACTCCCGAACAGGCTTGGGGAACCGGAGGTGCTCTGCAACAACTATGGTGTGGAGTTTGTACATGCTCACGCTGACGTTGACCTTCAAACGCTAGATTTGCATCACCCTGATGAAACTGTGAAGGGAAAGTTGGTCCCTAAGATTAATCGTGGTGTGATTTCAGTTCAGGTAAAACCAAACCCTAGTTATATATTCAGAGATAACATGATCAAGCAGTTAAGACGACATATATAATCTTAAAATGGATGTTTGAAGTTCAGAAGTCCATCGTTTCATGATATAGCCAATTCGAGAGTTTATAGTTTTTTAACTAATTAAAAGTTTGTACGAATAGAACAAAAACTTATTTTATGTTAATATTTGTTTTAGTTAATAGTGACATATCTATTTTAATCATTTTAATTGATCAACCTATATCTCGCTTTTTGAAACATTCAAATCTACATGTGTGTCACGAATTGACAGCATATAGTTTAAAATGAAATAAAAATAAAGTTTTTTGTAATTCATAATAATATAAAAGGTGTTGGGTAAGCACCAAATCAATTAAGCATTCTACTATTTGGAGGTTTGCATTTAATTAATATTTTATGTTAATATTTGTTTTAATCAGTTAACAAAATCTTGAAGTGAGTCATCTATTTTGTTCATTTTAATCAACATATCTTTACTTTTTGAAACATTCAAACTTACATATATGTGTAAAATCAGATGACAGCATATTGTCTAAAATGAAATAAAAATAAAGTTTGCATGTTTTAATAATATATATAAAGGTGTATGCGTAGCCATTAAATCAATTATAAGCACTCTTAGATTTTAAAGTTTGCAATTAAATTAGGATGTTCCCACTTCCTAATAAATTATGTTTAATAGCGTTTTCATATTAAAGATATAGATGTACTTTTTTATAATGTTATATTGTTATACAAACGTACACATGTTTCTAATAGATTATGTCAAAATATTATTTAATTAACTACATAACTACAGTTTTGGCTTTCCATAAAGCGAATTTGACTTAAAAATGACATAGTAACGACAAAAAATTAAGAAATATTCTCACGACTACGAAAACCCTCGAATAGGTTTGAACCTTGACAAATAAGGAAACTCGTTTACCTGGCCATTGTTTATATAGTTTAGACCAAAACTACAATCATACCAGTTATTAATTGAACACGTTAATATTCTATTACTTTGGTAACGTACTTTCAAGTATGATGTAATAAATTAATGGAGTAAAAATACACATGTTGTCAAAATATATGTATGATGCATCTAACGTACGCAATTACGCAAAGGTGTATAGTTTAAATTAACCTCTATTATTAGTATGTCAAGTATTATTTTTCTAGTTCTTTTATTAAATGTTTTCCCTTATTTAATTACATAGTAGTTTCCATTCCTAATCTTTTATCTTTCTAATTTTTATTACGTTATTAGACTTTAGTTCATATTAAGAATTTACAAGGATGAACGTGAGATCGATCGAGTTGTATTTTTATTTATTTATAGTGCTAATAATAGAAGTATGATTCTTTTATCAGTTTTACGATCATTAAAGTACTGCATAGATGAGGTCGTGAAATATTTATTCCTTATATTAATTTTGAAATACCTAACCTGTTAGCTTTTGTATTGTCTTATTCTTTCTTATGATCTTTTTTCAAAACAAACGCACTTTAACTTATCTATTAAAGGTGGAGAATCAATAAAGTAGGAAAAAATTTCAAAGGTGGTATAAAACAAAACAAAACATGAAACATTTTGCCTCCCATCAATATATTTAATACATGCATGGTACATACCGATCTTAGACGTTATAGAATACAAAATATACAATCGGCAATATATAGATAAAATATAAACAGAATATATAAATTGTTTTCTGCAACTTTAACAAACTGGCAAGGAAAAAATATTGGCAAAGTTAAACAGGTATCAGGTACATATGATTGATATCAAAACTCTCTGTAGATTGCTAGATACAGCAAGATCTATCTGGCATTCTTATAAAAAAAAACATATCTTTGATCACAAAGAATTTTTTATATATACGTATTAGTTGGTAATATCATCTTATATTTTTGAATAAAACAGGTCACAGAGTTGAAATGTGGAGCAATAATATTATCATGTGCTTTTGATCACCGTTTCACTGATGGCGATTCTTTAAACATGTTCTTGGCTGCATGGGTTGACTTAACCCAATTCAATAAAATTTCAAACATCCCATCTTTTCGATCATCTATTCTCAACCCAAGACGCCCACCCCATTACGACACAACCTTTGATGATCTGTATATTCCCATATCGTCATTGCCTCCTCCAACACCTTCCTGTGATGACGAACTTTGTAGTCGTATCTACTACATTCATGCAGAATCCGTTAATAACCTTCAATCACAAGCCAGTACAAAAGACATTAGAAGAAGCAAAGTTCAGTCTTTTACAGCATATATATGGAAATTATTAGCTCAACAAGTCGATGATGATGTAAACAAAACATCTAGAGTGGGTGTTGTTGTTAGTGGACGACATTTCCTTACTGGAAATAGTGAGGAAGAATCGTCTATGTTAAAGAACCACTTTGGCAACATATTATCTATACCATATGGTGAGGCAAACAATCGCCAACTCAAGGAAATGACACTTAATGAAGTCGCAAATAAGGTTCATGAGTTTGTGAAGGAGACAACAAATGAAGAACATTTTAGGGGGTTGGTTGATTGGGTAGAGTTGCATAGGCCAGAGCCAGCAGTTGCAAGGGTTTATTTCAAGCTACAAGAGACTGATGGGGATGCAATAGTTGTATCATCAGGACAAGGTTTACCGATTAAAGATATGAACTTTGGATTGGGAGAGCCAATCTTTTGGATCTTACCATTTCCCATGGGGGGGTCAAACTGGATATATAACTACCATGCCGAGTGCGAGACATAATGGAGATTGGATTGTTTACACGCATCTCAAACAAAAACACTTGGACCTGATTGACCATAAGGCATCTCACATCTTCAAGCCCTTAACTAATTCCTATTTACATTTTCGTTGATGTACCTAGTAATTTAAATCTTCTGTGAATGTTTTATATTGTCTGTTCCTATTTTTATTACTCCTTAGTCTTCATTTTGTATCCATATAACGTAGGGTTTCAGGACATGACAATATCTATATTGTAGGGCTGTCAATGTATAAACCTTGTTTCCATGGGTGCTTTTATTTATAAAATTCCTTAACCTAGTGATTAGTAGGGCTGTAAACGAACCGAATGAACACGAACGGGGCTTGTTCATATTTGTTCGTTTAAGTTAGCCGAACAAATGAACGAACACGAACGGATAAACGAACAAGGTTTCTTGTTCATGTTCGTTCGTTTAACAAATTGCATTGTTCATGTTTGTTTGTTTATGTTCGTGAACATGCTAAACGAACATAAACGAACGAACATAAATGAACAAAGATAAACAAACATAATTCAAACATATATGAACATAAATGAACCTATAATATAGTAATGTCATCAAATACAATTAAGCATATATAACCATTAAAAGAACTTATATGAACGAACATAAACAAATGTAAACGAACAACATAAACAAACGTTCATGAACATAATTGAACGAACAAGATCATTTTTCATGTTCGTTCGTTTAACTAAACGAACGAGAATTTGTGTTCATGTTCGTTCATTTATTAATTAAACGAACATAAGCGAACTTCCCGCCGAACGATTCACGAACAGTTCGCTGAACGTTCGGTTCGTTTATAGCCCTAGTGATTAGTATATATTGACAGGAAGTGAAAATCACTAGTTGGAAATGAGTATTAGCAATGGAACGATTTATTGGGAAAGTTGCTATAGCCCTTTAATGACGGATTAATTGGTGATGATATTTAATCACAAAAAGATTAAGAAAAGATTAGTTTTTTTTTTTTAACCGGCGGAATTTATTAAACCACGACCTAAAGGAAAAAGACCGGGCACAAAAGAAAAAACAAAACAAAACTTACAAAATGTCAAAAGGGGAACAAACCCAACATTTCCGTCTACAATTTCTAAAATTACCCCTATATTTCAACCAACTAAAAACCATAGCAATCACATTATCCGCCAACTTTGAAGAGTTCATTTGGATTCTGTTAAACCAAACGTCGTTCCTTGCTTTCCACAGACACCATAGAAACCCATAGCAGATAGCAAGAAATATTTTTCTCTTTTTTGGACAGTTCCCCCATGAGGCAGCAAAATTAACAAAATCTGAAATCGAAAGGAACCTTTGAATAGAAATGCCACACCAACTGAAAATCCAGCGTAGGGAATCAAAAGCAATCGGACAGTCCAACAGAATATGATCTGCAGTGTCCACACCACTAAAGCACATTTGACAGGAAATAGAAAATATGTTGATACCTCTCCTGGAAAGAGCCACTGCAGTAGGATTACGCCCCATACAAGCCCTCCAAACAAAACTAATGCACGTGATAGGAACTAAGTGAAGCCAAACCGTGGGGTTATTTATCGGGATAGTCAATTTACTGTCAATGAGGGCCCTAAGATCGCATACATGGAAAAAACCGCCGACAGTTAACCTTGATCTCCAAGTGTCAGGCCCATTGGATCTCACAACCATCCTTGTAACATCCAAAATAGATTTCAATTCCAGCAGCTCCTGAGAATTGTTGGGTGATGGATACATTTATTTTATAGAAATTGAGTATAACCAAAGGTTCTAAATAAAACTAGATATGACTTAGACAACAATGTCAAACTTCAAACTTTGTCGACAGGCACATGGTTTGTAAGGTATGACTCAATGCGACAATTTTATATATAATTAATAATAATATGTATGTATGTGTGTATATATATATTACTAGCCGTTTACACCGCGCCAAGCGATGAGTACGAATAGTTTTTTTGGAAATTAGTTTTTAGAGACGTTTAGTTCTTTTGCACAAATACTTTACTACATCTAAACAATTATCAATAAGAGTCATGCTAGCAAATATGAAATCAGTAAGAATATAAAACTAAGAGTTAGATTTCTTTACAAATATATACGAACACATGATTCATTGTGCATTATTCCGCCCACCATTTCTTCAACTCGTCACCGACTCGTAATAGAAAGTATGAGAACCATTGATTGGTTAGTGCTCACATATTTATAGTTAACCACAACTTTATAATCGAAGAACAAAGAGGCGGCATTTGTAGGCTACAATCCGGTGCTAGTGTTCCACTTCTCACGACCTGTAATACTTGTCTAAAATCACTTCCGAAAACCATTATCTTTCCACCAAATGGGAGTCTCACCCTAGTGAGTAGTGATATCTTGCACTGTACGGTCAACCGCCTCCACCTGTTGTCTTGTAGTCATCGACACTTTGTCCCACATATTACTTTTGCAATCCCAAAGTAGTTGAGCAATACCACTTTGTCTCGTAATCTTGCATACTGAGCTATTTTCACGACTGAGAAGAATTTTAGCGAGAGTGAGTTTTTCTCCCTCAGACATGTTATTAGCCACAAAACCCGATGAAGCAGTCGCGAAATATCACATCCTTATTACGAAATATCATATCCTTGTTGATAAACGACCACACCCTTTGTTATTTGGATATGACAATTAACTTTTTGTTATTTATGATGATATTAAAAAAAAAGTTGATCGCAATAACGTAAAACAATATCTTTTACAACTTTGGTATATATTTATATAGCAACATATGTAATATCTCAGTTTCATTGAAAATGTATTTATGTTTGATTCTGAGTCAAAAAACTTTTATACAGAGTTAATAGTTTCAGGATGGTCCGCACTCATAGTATTTAGAGACTGTTAGAAACAAATTAACTAAATAATCTATTATCATCATGCTGTTTCACAAAAATAAACCAATTCACTAAAGAAATTTTAAAAAATACGAAGCCATATCAACTTTTAACTAAATACAAATCAAAATAAAAAGAACATTATAATATTCATCCTTGTAGTAAGAATATCCTTCGAATAACAAAACCCAATCCTAAATTTTTTGTTAAGCGATAACCCCATGTCATGGACAGTGTGAAACTTGGAGCAAATAGCGCTAAGCGACGGGTGAGAATAGTTTGTTTCGGTAATTTGTTTATTTTCGACGTACAATGATTAGTTTCAATTCAACGATTATTTCGCTTTAGAAATACGTTATATTAAAAATAAGACACGATTATTTGTCGTTCTTACGTATGTTGGATTGGTGTTTTCATATATTTGATATATTATTTCGAAAATAGATTATTTTCTAATTCATAATAATATATTTGAAAAAAAAAAACTTATTTTTTTTCATTTGTAGGTTTATAGGGAAAAACATAGTTAAAAGTATATTATTGTTTTTTTTTGAATAAACGATTACATTGTTATTTCAATTTTAATATAATTAAAAATTTTATGTGGTATTTTTTTTTGAAAAAAAAAATAACAAAATTTAGTGGTTAACCATAAAATACTTTTTCATGGTGTTACAAAAAAACTTGATAGTTGCTATAAAATTTGTGAATTTGGTTATTATTAATTAGTATTTGAAAATATGAATTGTTATTATTAATTAGTTGCTCTCCCTCTTTGAAGTTGAGGGTTCAAGTCTCGTCGTGGATATAGGTGGATTTAAAGTGTAGTGTAGGAGTATGTTAGATTTTCCGTTTCAAAAAAAAAATTTGAAATATGGATTTTTATTATTAATTACTATTTGTCGTTGAATTCAAATGAAATATCAAATTAAGGTACATTTACTTGGATATCGATGCATTTTAATAATTTTGATTTTACTGTGCACTTCTTGTTGAAATCGTTTATTATAGCATTATAGTTGAGTTTATTATAGAATTATAGTTTTCATATCGTAGTTATGGGTTATAGTTTTTTGTGTTTGAAAAACATTTGAAAATTGTGTCAAGAGAACTTTTTGTTTCCTTATAGATATACATCAAACAAAAAATTATTTTGAATCTTTTAATAGATTTATTTAGTGACTTATGATGTTGAGAATTGGATTAAGTTGGCTTAAATGGCTCTCCGAAAATGTCAATGCATCATCCCCTCAATGCTTAAAAGGACATATAAACTATAAAGCAAACTCTTTCATGAAGGAAAAATATACATTAATAGCAAATAATGAACTCAATTTTGTAAGCTTTTTTAATGCTTCAAAACATTTATCTATACAAATTTATTTTCATTACGGGATACACATTATCATATAAGTAAAGTTCAATCCTGCAAGTTATCACTATTACATCAATGGTTTTCATCTTGTAAAAGCAGAACAAAACCTAGGAGCGGAATCATCTATAACAATTTGCTTTGAAATTTCAAAATACTAAATCATCTCGTCTCCAATGTTTGGTGAAGGGGATAATGATTTGCATCAGTCATTGTTGGTTTTTAACCCTTTGTTTGAATGAATCATAGAACAAAGGCTTGCAATAATGAACTTATCCAAAATACTCTACGCAACATAACATTTGGAATAAGCTACCTTTCCATGTTCTATGTTGTAGCATCCCGTTATTTTTATTATTATTGTAAAAGTCAATATTAGTCAACAAAAGTCAAACTTCTCATTTTAATCTATCTTATAATAAATAGATTTGACTTAAAAACCTTTAATGCAAAAGAGTTGTGTGTTCAAGAAGGGAATTAGTTAAAACCGAGAAATCTCGCATCTTTTCTTCTTTCTTCCCTTCGGACCGCACACTTCGGGCCGCAAAAGGTTTACGACCGTGAACTCCTCGGACTGTGAACCCTCGCAGCCGTGATCAACTTCGGGCCGTGAACTCTTAGCCGACTTCGGACCGTGAACCACTTCGGACCGTGAACCCCTTCCATATATATATTTTGGCTGATTTTAGTTCATTTCTACACTTTCAAACGATCGAAAATCCAACCTTTTTCTCTCAAGTATCATCAGCCAAGAACATCCTCTCTCCTCAAGAACATGCTAAACTCATCATTTCTCATCATATTCATGTGATAATCACTAGTTCTTCATAGGATCTAACAGGTATCATTTTTTGTCTTGTTATCATTTCAAAAACACCC